AACAGAATCCTGAAAGAAAATTCATGTTTACAATCCAACTCAAACAGGGGAACAGAGATTTTTTATGGCTGGCGGACTTGTATTGAATTGAAATTGAAGGAATTTATACATACATGTACATTTTTTACTGATACAATCTCTTGGGGTGAGATCTCCTTTCAAAAATCTTATCCACTCTTCAAATTGCTATCCAGGCCTTCTTTCCATTCTTTGTGTGCAGATTACTACAAGGGTAACAAGTTCTACACCATCACAAGTTTTGAGACGTCTTACCCCCAACCACCCCCGTAACCACCCTGTCAAAAGTACGAACAGGAATGAATGAACTAGCAGCAAGATGGGTACAAGTAGGAAACCCTAATTGGGTTGTACTCCGTATGGGCTACCCCACTAGAGCCTACATAATAAGCAGCATATGAGTTTGACACACCCCCATAGGCAAAGTGGGGGAGAACAAGAGTTCACAAGACCGGTCAAGAAAAGCAAAGCAAGCTCAGGGTGGATCACGAAGTCACCACGCATTCTGAGCACAAGCAAATGGCCACAAGGCCAGTTCACATGCAAAGTTATATATAAAGGAGAACAAGCAATACAGTGATCATAACCTAGCAAGTGTAAGCATGCAAGTATAAGTATATAGATCACAGTATAAGCAAAGTCAAAAAGTGAACAAGTGAGGCCAAGTAGGCACAAGGCCTAGAACAGTACAAAAACACTGATGATCACAAGGCTGAAGTGCCTTGGTGAAGATATCAGCAGTGTTGGCCTGAGAGGCCACGTAAGCAAGACGAAGCTGACCACGCTGCTGCAATTCTCGAGCAAGGAAGTAGCGCAGAGCGATGTGCTTCGTTTTGTGCTCCAGTCTGTGCTCCTGACACAAGGCAATCATTGCCTTGTTCTCGACGTACAAAACTGGAGGGGAACGAGGCGGCGCCCCCAAGTCGGTCAGCAGGTAGGTGAGCCAGCGTAACTCCTGTGCAGCCATGGCACCTGCGTAGATCTCAGCCTCACAACTGGAGTTGAGAACAGAAGACAAGCGGGTTGACCGCCACGAAACAAAGCCGGAGCCAAGGCTGAAGGTGTAACCCTGTGACGACCGCTGCGTAGCCAAGTCGTCAACCTAAGAAGCCTCTGCGTGACCAATGAGGACAACTCGAGCCCGTCCTCTAAGCACGAGCCCCATGCCCAACGTACTGCACAAGTAGCGCATCACCCTCTTAGCGGCCTTCCAGTGCTCTGGTCGGTGTCTCCCGGGCGCAACGTAGTGTGCCAGGATGCTAAGAGGGTAAGCAAGGTCAGGTCGAGTGCAGGTCATCAGGTACATGAGGCAGCGAACAAGCTCTGGATACGGGCCACTCGGCTCTACGGACTCATTCGAAGGCAGAGCTGAAAGCGAGTGACCGGTAGGCAAAGGAGTGGACTGTGGCGAGGAGTACTGGAAGTCGAAGCGTTGAAGAACCTACTGCACCATGTGTGACTGAGTCAAGGTAATGGTGCGCCGTGCTCTGTCCCGGGTGATCTGCAAGCCAAGATAGTTGCGCAGCTCACCCAGGTCTGTGCACGTGTGTCTCTTCCTCAGCTCCGACTTCACGTGGGCCAGTCCAGCAGTGTCAGCAGTGGCAAAGACCAAGTCTTCGACGTACACGAGGATGTAGAACGGCGGCAACAAAGTGTCGGTGCGTAGAAACAATGACGGGTCAGCAGTCGAAGGAGCAAACCCAAGAGCCGCAAGCGTTGTCCTCAGTGTGTCATGCCACTCGCGAGGCGCCTGGCGGAGATCATAGATTGGCCGCCGGAGACTCCACTAGGTACCTACAGGAAACGACCCAGTGAAACCGGGTGGGCGGCGCAGCCAGATCTCCTCGTGCAGGCTGCCCTGTAGGAAAGCAGAGCTGAAGTCAAGAGAGTGAAGCTCGTAGTCACGCTGAGCGGCGACGTGCCGCAGAACCCGAAGAGTGGTCATCTTTGAGGTAGGGAAGAAGGTCTGGAAGAAGTCAACTCCCTGTCGCTAACTGAAGCCTCGTGCAATGTAAATCCATCTTCGGTGTAGGGGAGTGTGCTCTTGGCACGGACGTCCTCTTGCAACGCGCCTTGAAGACAGGCGGAGAACCCGGCGGCCGCTTCACCCTGAAAATCCACATGCCACTGACGATGTTCGCTCCAGGTGGGGGAACCTCGTCGACGTAAGTGCCTGTGGACTTCCAGGATGCCATCTCTCCGTCCATGGTTGTCTGCCACTGAGAGGAGTAGGGACCCTCTATCGCCTCTGCATAAGAGCGCGGGGTCGGGATGTCTGGTGCATCCGGGTCACCCTCAGGTGCAATCAGCATGGACACGAGATGAGGTACAACAGCTGCAAAACACTCAAAGTCCTCCTGCCTATCCTCAAGGATGTGCGTGCCAAGAGCACACTCACCCCCGACGGACGGAGGACAGACAGACTCAGACTCAGTAACAAGACTAATGGCGTAGTCGAGACAACAGGCAGCAGCAAAGTCAACAAGCTCAGCAACAAGCGCAGACGCATCAGTGGACTCAAACAAAGGGTCAGTGACAACAGTGGCCAGAAGATGTGTGACAGTAGGACTGGCAGCACGGAGTGAGTTAGAGTCAGGGTCCGGTCCATCAGCAAGGGAGGACGCAGGAGGAGGGACATGCAGTGGAATAGAGGAAGGACGAAGTGCCATCTGGTGCGTGCCGGGGACAGGAGAAGGACGCGGACGCGGAACACGACGATCAGTGCGACTAGCGCGAACAGGCGACGCAGGTCGAGACGCAGGCTCACAACACTCTTTAAGACCTCCGGGCTGCTCAGTATAAGGAGAAGTAGCAGGCAGTGGGGAGGCTGGCTGTAACTGCGGCTGGGACTGGTCAGGAGGAGTAAGTCCAGTAGAAGGCGGGAGACCAAGAACCTGCTGAAGCAGAGGAACAAAGTACGGTCGCGGCCGCACAACGCCTCCAGAACCAGCACCGACAGCACCAGCACCCCCAGGGCCAGTACCTCCAGCACCAGGATCTCCAGCTGCAACGCCTATAGTACTACCAGCTCCAGCAGCTCCAACACCTCCAGCAGCTCCAGCTCCAGCAGCACCTCCAGCTCCAGCAGCTCCAATACCTCCAGTATGAGCACCTCCGCGACCAGCGGCTCCAGCACCTCCAGTAGCTCCAGCTCCAGCAGCTCCAGTACATGTAGCACCTCCAGCTCCAGGGCCTCCAGCGGCAGGCCCCTCAGCTTCAGCAGCACCACTCCAAAGGCTCCAGCGCCGAGAAAACCACTCGCGCAGCTGTAGTGGAGAGAGGGGCTCCCGCCGAGACAAGACACCCGTAGGACCTCCAGGCTCAGCACGCTCGAGCTCAGCACCCCCAGGCTCAGCACCCCAGGCTCAGCACCCCAGGCTCAGCACCCCCAGGCTCAGCACCCTTAGGCTCAGCACCCCTAGGCTCCACACGCTCAGGCTCAGCACCCCCAGGCTCCGCACCCTCAGGCTCAGCACCTCTAGACGTAGCACCCCTAGCAGCACCAGAGTCGACAGCTACCTCGACAGGCTTGACAAGGTCTACCTGTGACACACCTGAGGGAGCAGGACCCTGAGGGGGGAGGGGGTCTACCGGAGGAGGGCCTGGTGCGAGGAAGAGCGGCGGGGGAGGGAGAGGGGCAGTGCGGTAGGGGAAGAGATGGTAAAAGGGAACCGACTCGTCAAACGTGACATCCTGAGAGGGCAGGCTACGGCGCGAGGTGGGGTGGTAAGACTGCTAGCCAGGCGCATCAGGGGGAAAGCCAAGGAAGACACAGGGAACGTCGCGGGAGGAGAGCTTGTCCGCGGAAGTATCACGGACAAAGGCACAACATCCCCAGACCCGGAACACCGACGCATCGCCAACCTCTCCCGTCCAACGGAGTGTTGGCGAGGTTTACGGCAAGGAGACACGGGGCCAGAGGTTGAGTTGATGCGCAGCGCAGCGGACCGCAAACGGCCACAAAAAATGGGGGGCAGCCGCATGGATCATGGAGGTACGAGCGACCTCCATGACTAAGCCAATGTGGCGCTCAGCAACCCCATTCTGCTGCGGAGAGGCCGGGAGCGTGAACGTCTGGCGAATGCCCTCCCCACGACAAAAGTACCGATAGAGGTCGGAGGAAAACTCACCACCTCTATCAGAGTGCAGACGCAGGATGACAAGGTCCGTCTCATCCACTCTTCAAATTGCTATCCACGCCTTCTTTCCTTTCTCTGTGTGCAGATTACTACGAGGGTAACAAGTTCTACACCATCACAAGTTTTGAGACGTCTTCCCTCCAACCACCCCCCCCTGCTCCTCTTATGCATATTACTACACCACAACAGCTGCGGCCTCGCAAATAGTTAGTAGACAAATACCTCTTCTCTTTTTCGCCACCATTTGACCTGATGTACATATTCCCATTTTTTCTCTCCCATCCTTGCGTGCCTACTCTCACACTCTGCTTTCCCGTTTGTACTCTCTGCTCTCCCTTCCTCACTTGATGCTGATCCCATTTTTTTAACCCTACTTTCCCTCTCTCCTTCTCTCCTCTCTCAACTCCCTTTTTCACTCGCAAATCCTCCTCACCCTCCCTCCTCTTCACAAATCCCTCCGCTTATCCCACACTCCACTACATTGCTAAAGCTTGCTGTCTTGTTGCCCTCACTCACCCTTCCCTCTCTCCTCCTCACTTCATTGTTAGTTTTGAGGAGCCTTAAAACTGCCCTGTTGCCCTCACCTCATCCACCCTTCTCTTTGCCCCATCCCATCCCATCCCATCCCATCCCACCCCGCCCCCTCCCACCGCATGCCATCCCTCCCCCTTCACAAATTCCTCCGCTTCTCCCACACTCAGCTACATTGCAAAGCTTGCTGTCATGTTGCCCTCACTCACCCACTTCTCCTCCTCACCCCATAGCTGTTCTCTCTGTTGTGTTAACACCCCCCCTCCACCCCACCCGCTTCCTCCACCACCCAATACATCAGGTCACTCCCCTATGTCCATTGTTTCCCCCATCCACCCTCATCTTCCCCCTCTCACCTGCTTCCCCCACCACCCAATACATCAGGCCACGCCTCTCCTTTTCACTCTAGCCGTTGCCAAACTTCCGGACATTGTGTTTCCGGTGAGTGCTGCCTCTTGTCCATGTGCGATGAGTCGATTTTTGAGTCGACTTAAAAATCGACTCTCAGACATAGTGTTTGCGGTGAGTGCTGCCTCTGGTCCACTCCTCCCCACTCCTCTCCAATCCTCCCCGCTCCTTTGCCATCCTTTTCCACCCCTTTCCTCCCCTTCCCACCGCATCCCATCCTACCTCATCGGTTTGACTTTATCCCAGCAGGTGTTGGCGTCACTCGTGATCCATTCATCATCGTCACATCAATATCTTTGCCCCATCCTTTCTCACTCTTTCTCTTTTCCGACCTGCACTACCTGCTGCTACGGTTGGATCTCCTTTCACCTCTCTACCTCCTTCCACCCCATCCCATCCCATCCCACCGCACTCCACACCTGATCAGCCGTGGGTGCACAGCAAAAAGTGGATCTTCCTTCACTCACACCTGACCTCTTCTCTCTCTACTCACACCCCATTAGGCCTGCGATCGCTCTTCACAGTCATCACCACCAGCATGGCGGATGTGCACTACATGCAGCATGGCCGATCGCTCTTCAGCAGCACTGGACCTCCTTCCTCATCTCTGCTTCCTTACATCCCATTCCATCCCATCCCACCCCACCCCATCCCATCCCATCCCATCCCATCCCATCCCACCGCACTCCACACCCCATTAGTTCTACGCTCTCGCTTCAAAGCCATCGCCACCAGCATTGCCGATCTGCACAACCTGCAGCATGAAGCTCCCTTCACTTACATGTCTGCTCTTCTCTCTCCCCCATCTGTGTATGATACCATGACGTGCCATCAGGCCTGCGATATCTCTTCACAGCCATTGCAACCAACATGGCCGATCTGCACAACCTTCAGCCACCACTAGACCTCCTTTCACTCACTTCTCTTACTCTTCTCCTCCTACAATCTTCACTCCCTGTCCCATCAGGCCTGCGCCATGCCTGTCAATAGTTCAAGTATCTTTGGCCAAACCTAAACTCTCTCGCCTTGCTCCTATGCTCCTAATCTCAACATGCAGTACCTGCAGCCTGCCAGTACGGCGGTGCTCGGGTTCATCATTGGCTTCAAGGTCCCAGTTCTGCGGTGAGTGTATTCGTGAAACCATCTGTCATTGTATGACATGGCGTCATTCTTGGCCATCAATCATGCCATCATATGCCATGCACCAACCCGTGCTACCTGCAGCCAGCCGTGCTCAAGTGTGCCTTCCCTTCCCTCCCTCTCTCACTTCCCCTCTGCACTTCCAGGTCTGCACGTACCGACGGAGGTCTCTCAAGGGGTGGTGGCTTCTCTGCTGGAAGAAAAGGAGCATTTCAGTTCAGCCTTTTACTCTCCCTCCTCTTCTCTCCCTCTCATTCTCTCTCTCTCTCTCTCTCTCTCTCTCTCTCTCTCCCTCTCTCTCTCTCTCTCTCTCTCTCTCTCTCTCTCTCTCTCTCTCTCTCTCTCTCTCTCTCTCTCTCTCCCCTTCCCCTCTGCACTTCCAGGTCTACACGTACCAACGGAGGTCTCTCTAGGGGTGGTGGCATTGCTGCTAGCAGGAGGGGAGCATTTCAGCCTTTGACTTTCCCTCCTCTTCTCTCCCTCTGATTCTCTCTCTCCCCCCCTCACTTTCCCTCTGCACTTTCAGGTCTGCACGTACAAATAGAGGTCTCTCTAGGGGTGGTGGCGTCACTGCAGGAGGCGTGTTCTTCAGCCTTAGATTCCCTCACACATAGGGTGATGATAAGAGGGTTATAGGCATGCATAATATTTTTTGTAGCCTACTATATCATCTATACAGTTTTTTGGGAAGTGTTACGAATAGTACAAACGAGAAAGGCAATGTGCACTCCTAACCGCAGCAAGTGAAGCACACAATACCGAGGCTGAATGCAAAGAGGCAGAATGACGCGAAGGGTCGCGTACGGTTACGAAGCATCTGGACCGTCAGGGCAGACAACATCATAGCAGTAGCAGTGGCGAGGACTCTGCCCGAACAGTTTCGTAACTGTCTCGAGTCGTACGGTTGGATTTCACTGCAATAGGGGAATGTACCCATTAGAGTACATGGCTAGTTAGGTCGTTTCGTATTCCACTTGTACTCTTATTTATATGCTTGTACTTGCATGTTTTAATCATCTCAATCATTTTACATTCACTCTGATTTGAGGTCAAGGGGCCACCACTACCAAGTACTCTGTGCGAACCTTCCCGAGGTGATCCTGGTTTTGATCGCGCCGCAATCAAAGGGAGAATAATCCTCTCCGGCAAATGGGTCTTCCGCGTGAAGACCGCAGCGGACGGCACGATCGAGCGATTTAAGGCGCGTTGGGTCATACGCGGCTACGATCATAGGCACGGCATCGACGACAAGACGATTGCGCCGGTCAGCCGTCATACCTCCGTCGGAATTCTACTCGCCATCGCCGCCGCAAGGCACTTGCCGCTTTGGCAAATCAATGTGAAGAACGCGTTCCTTTATGCACTAGTGGATGCAGTAATCTATGTGGAGCAGCCGCACACATACGGTGAAGGAGACTCACGTGTGTGCCAGCTGCGAAAGTCCCTCGAGGGGATCAAACAGGCACCGAGGCTCTGGCAGCAGTACCTGCACAACATTCTGCTCGAGATACGCTTCAAGCAACTACCCCACGATCCCTGAATTTACTGCCGCGATTTCCGCGGCGACTACATTCTACTCACAGTCTATGTCGACGATCTACTCTACGCAGGATCAAGCAGCGACCTGTTGGAACGAAAGGAACCTGAGGGACGCGTCGACATCACTTACAACCATGACGTGAAGCAGTTTTTCGGCATGAACATCTCCTACTCACCAGAAGCCATTCACCTCTCAGCAACCAAGTACGCAAAAGAACTTGGCAAACGCTTCAACATCGCGCCCACACTGCTTTCCACACTTTACCGCACTCCCGGACTAACCAAAAGCCCGACAACAAAGCCTTGTCCCTCGCTGGACTCCAGACTTACCAGCAGCAACTAGGTTGATTGCTCTTCGCCTCTGTCACTTGCTGGCCAGATCTCTCGTACATCGAGAGCCAGCTGGCTCAGTACTCACGCAAACTAACGGCTGAAAATATTCTGGATCTTCAGCGCACTATGCAATTCTTCATCTCCACGCCCAATGTTGGGCTCTGCTACTCCACATTCCCAACCTCGTCCTTCAACCTCATCGGCTACGTGGACGCTGATCACGCCGCTGACTCGGATAATTGACGGTCCATAGCTGGGTTCCTATTCCGACTCGAACCGACGGGACCCATCTCCTGGAATTTGCAGAAGCAGGAACTGGTTGCCCTGTCATCAGCGGAAGCTAAGTTCATCGCCGCGACAGTAGGAGCTCAAGAGCTCCTATAGGAGGCGAAAATTCCATCTTCGCCCACCTTCCACCTGCACTGCGACAACCAGAGCGCGATCAGGATCACAAACAAACCTGGGTTCGTCAACCGCACCAAACACATTGCGCTGCGGTACTTCTTCGTCAAGGACGATGTGGATAAGGGCAAGGTTGACTTGACCTATTACTCGACAAGTGACAGCGACTGTCATGTCAGCAGTATCAGCACCGCTCCGAACTCAGCGGAGTAGTCAAGCGGGTCAAGACCTGCTACGACCAGGAGTGAAGGGGGTGTTACGAATAGTAAAAATGAGAAAGGCACTCTGCACTCCTAACCGCAGCAAGTGAAGCACACAATACCGAGGTTGAATGCGAAGAGGCAGAATGACGCGAAGGGCCGCGTACGGTTACGAAGCATCTGGACTATCAGGGCAGACAGCATCAAAGAAGCAGTAGTGGCGAGGATTCTGCCCGAGCAGTTTCGTAACTGTCTAGAGTCGCACGGTTGGATTTCACTGCAATAAGGGAATGTACCCCTTAGAGTACATGGCTAGTTATGTCATTTCATATACCACCTGTACTCGTACTATATGCTTGTACTTGCATGTTTTAATCATCTCAATCGTTTTACATTCACTCGGATTTAAGCTCAAGGGCCCACCACTACCACGTACTCTGTGCGAACCTTCCCGAGGTGATCTTGGTTACGATCAACTACTGATCGCAGCAGGAAGGAGTTGTAGGGTGTAAATTGCAACCTGCTATAAGCATTCACTACTATACAAACAATGTGACAATAGAATTATGTCAAAACAATATATGATTTCTATCTTTCTATGCTATATGTGGGTTATCCTTAGAGGGTACATAATATTTCTCGACACTCTTGTACCCCCCCTGTTGAAATAGATTTCTTATATAAACTGCTTGTAGCGATAGTTAGTGTAGTGTTACATTGTTTGGTGGTGCACCTTGCTTGCTTTGCCTATATCCTTGTACCTTCTCTCTTTATTGAACACCTTTTCTCCTTTGCAACTCCCTCGATATTCCCCTTGAACCCTAAAACCTAAGCTACTAAGCTACCATAGCTATGGCTCCTAAGCCTACCTGTCCTTAGTGACTTCAACATATTATCAGAGCTTCTTAGATCCTGGCCTGTGGGCCCATGCTTCCGCTGCCTGTCATCCTGCCGCGCGCCTCGGGCGCGCGGCGCGCACGGCGGTTTTCTGCCCGCCGTGCGCCCCGGGCGCGCGGCGTCTTTCTGTCTACGCGCGGGCCTGTTTTGCCCGCCCGTACCCTGCCCTTCGCGGCGCCCTGCAGAGGCGCCGCTCCTGCTCGTCGCGACGCCCCTGCGGGACCCGTGCGTCGCCGCTCCTGCTCGTCGCGACGCCCTTGCGGGACCCGCGGGGCGCCGCCCCTGCTCGTCGCGGCGCCCCCTGGGCGCTGTCCCTGCTCGTTGCGGTGCACCCCCCCCTGGCCGCCGCCTCTGCCTCCCCTGCGCCCGTGCCTGCTTTGCAGCAACGCGCGGGCCTGCCCCGCCCCTGGAGCAGCCGCCCCTGCAGCAGCCGCCCCTGGCCCCTGGAGCAGCCGCCACTGCAGCAGCCGCCCCTGGCCCCTGGAGCAGCCGCACCTGCAGCCGCCCCTGCAGCAGCCGGCCCTGGCTACTGGAGCAGCCGCCACTGCAGCAGCCGCCCCTGGCCCCTGGAGCAGCCGCCCTTGGAGCAGCCGCCCCTGGAGCAGCCGCCCCTGCAGCAGCCGCCCCTGGCCCCTGGAGCAGCCGCCCTTGCAGCAGCCGACCCTGCAGCTGCCCGCGACGCCGCTCCTGGACCCTGTGCAGCCGTGGGGGGAGGGTATGGGGGTGGCGGGTGTGGGGGTGATGAGTGTGGGTGCTACCCTTCCCCTCCTCCTCCTCCTACTTCGTCTCCCACTGCTGCAGCTGCCGCTGAAGGGGGGTGGATGTGTGGGAGCCGAGGGGAGTGGAGCTAAGGGGGTGTCGTGGGAGTGGAGACAGGGGTGCAGCAAGAGGGTGTGTGAGAAGGGGGTGTGGGACTGTTAGGGGAGGTAGAGCGGAGGTCGCTGTCGTGTCGTCAGTAGCGCCAGTAGTCCGGAGCCCTCGTGCTCTCGGTAGCCCAGCGAGCCTGCTTCGCCAGTCGCCTGTGGGTCCGTTGCTCCTGCCGCTCGTCGTAGCCGCGGAGCCAGATACTCCCGTAGTCCGGTGCCCTCGTGCGCTCGGTAGCCACTGTGCGCGCCGCTCGTGTTGCCCGTGTGACTGCAGCTTCACCTGTCGCCTCCTATCTCCACCCCTGTCACAGTCCCTCCTCCTCCTCACTTCCCCTCTCCTTTTGCTGCACTTGGTGTACCCCTTCAGGGGGTGTCTCTGCATTGGCTTCCTGCTGTAAGCAGTTTAGGGGGTGTGTTGAAATATATTTCTCATATAAACTGCTTGTAGCGATAGTTAGTGTAGTGTTACATTGTTTCGTGGTGCACCTTGCTTGTTTTGCCTATATCCTTGTACCTTCTCTCTTTATTGAACACCTTTTCTCCTTTGCAACTCCCTCGATATTCCCCTTGAACCCTAAAACCTAAGCTACTAAGCTACCATAGCTATGGCTCCTAAGCCTACCTGTCCTTAGTGACTTCAACATGTTATCAGAGCTTCTTAGATCCTGGCCTGTGGGCCCATGCTTCCGCTGCCTGTCAATAGAATTATGTCAAAACAATATATGATTTCTATCTTTCTATGCTATGTGTGGGTTATCCTTAGAGGGTACATAATATTTCTCGACACTCTTGTACCCCCCCCCCTCCTTACCTAATCCACACTTCTCCTCTCTACTCTAGTCACCTAGTCTAGACTAGATTCTAACATGGTATTCTGAGCAGGTCCCATAGGACCCTTTTTTTCTTTCTTTCTTAAAGGCCCACCGCTAGCTTGTATCCTGCCCGTTCGTTCTGCCCCGCCCCACGAAATCGCGACCGTCTGTTCGCTAGTGCTGCCCTGCCTAGCGCGATCGCCCTAACCTGCCCTATGGGCGACCCGTACGCGCCCTGCTCGCGCCGCTTGCATGCACGCACGTGCCCCGTCCACGCCGCTCGCACGCGCGCTCGACCCGCACGCTTCCTGCACTGCCCGCGCACTGCCTGCACGACCCGCGCTCTGCCTTGCGCCCGGCCTGCGCCTTGCCGGCGCACATCCCACGTGCACCCATGCGCACCCTGCCTGCGCTTTGCTCGTCCGCGCTGCTGAGCGCTGCTGCTAGTGTCACTTAAGCGGCTGCTACTGCTGCTACTAAGCGCTACTGCTGCTGCTGCTGCTGCTGCTGCTAAGCGCTACTGCTACTACTGCTGCTCCATGCGCTACTGCACCTGCGCTCTGCC